ATCTCTGTGTACTATAGTACAGTCAATTCTTTCCATCTGCCTCAGCAACAGAAGTGATACTCTATTTTTATAAAAGGATGACTGGAAATGGTGTGTGTCTGAAATATTCCTGATCTGACTAATTATAGATGATGGCTTGTAAAACCTTCACATTTTTATAGCTTCGTGGAAGAGTTTGTCTAGATGCCTCTTTGATTCAACCTCTTCACAACATATACCAGCCTTCACCAAGCTGGTGCAGTCCAGAGGTTTGGGACTACAGATGCCATCCACCTGGCCAGTCGATACTGCAAGCATACTTCTAGAAAATCATTGCAATGAGCTAACAATTGTGTCATTTTTGAATAATTTTGCAGAATGATTTTGCAGTCTTATCTGGCTTTTACATTTATGTGTTAACTGCTGACCCATTTCTCAGTTGCAGAACTATCTGAAGCAAAGTGAATCCATCAGGGGCCCTCCATTTTTATTTAAAGTTTACATTTGCTACAACAAACAAAGGGGAATACTCTGAGATGGCGTGTCTAATGCCTACTGTGATAGAGTTTTCAGTTTAATGCCACAACTGTGGACCGAGGACAGAAAAAAGCCCAAGCAGCATCATTGTGAGAGCTAACTTGCAGATGAAATGAAATTAACAAGAGCTGCACAGAGCTTCTAAGCTTCTTGAAAAGAAAAGAAAAACAGCAAGCAGCCAACTCAAATACAAATTCAAAAGGAAGCAAGCCGAGGGCTAGCCAATGCAACTTTAAGGTAAAATCATCAGATTTAATTTCAAGTGCGTCAGTAAGACGTTGTCATGCTGGCCAAAGAGCTGCAGGGAAGGGGCCCACAAGCTTAGGGAGATGACAGAAATGGCTTCAGAGAGTGGTTGTTTGAGGAGACCCACTACTGTCCCTGGAATTTACTGTTTGAAGGTGAATATTGAAGGGGTGAAATTGGGTCTGTGAATTGTAACCAATGCACTCATTTGAAAGTTCCAAATTCCATTTGGTAAGCTTGCAAGACAGTCTGTTGTAATAAATACAGGCGTGGGTCTTTCCTTCCCCCAGCCTCCATTCTTGTTTCTCCCCCCCCCCCTGCGCAGTATCGCCTTGTTTCCCTGACATGCTAGAAGGCAAGTCTGAGTACTCTTGTCAGGCCTACTCCATTCTGGGATTGTAAATATAACAATTAATGGGCTTTGTGTTACTTGGAGGAGGTCCGTATACTAAGCAAGGTTGGCCCAGCAAATTTTGGCACCTGAAGCAACCCCAAAATGGTGTCCCCTACCCACCACCACAGAAGAACGGTGAGGAAACATCTACATCAGGAATAAAGAGGAAAGGAAGATCAACATCAGGATCTGCTGTCCCTGGGGATCCTGCAGCATGAGGCGGTCACCTCACCTTGCCTCATGGGTAGGTGGCCCTGATGCTGAGCTCCTGTGATAGATGTCATTCATTACTTCCCCAACTCAGAGTGGTATGTGGCCTTGGAAATGTAAAGGTTCTACCTCGTTAGGCTTCAAGAAATGGCAGGACCCATTATGCTTATCCTTGATTTAACCTGTTGCCTGCATAAACCGTTGAATTCTGCCTTGTGTCTTTGGGGAAAAGGTGGGATATCCATCCATCCATCCATAATGCTAGCTAGAGCCCACTTTCTGACAAGCAGCTCTGGACAATCTTGTCCTATAATCCTTTCCCCTTAGGCGCATATTATTTTATTAAATGTTCTATTTTTAGTTTCCCCCCAGTAAAAATATTAGGGGAGGGGAACCAATCAACTTTACATATAAGGATTAATTTCTGCCCAGCAGGACATTCTTCACAGCCTTTCTAGTTGCCTGCACACTCTTTTTTCTTGAAAACCTCCAAGGATATAAGACACCACTGTACCCCTGTGCTACTTACTGTGTTGCTGATATGCTCAGACATTTTAAAAGTATTCCCCAATGTTTAATTTTAACACACATCTCAGAATTAGAACCTAGAGCATGTTGTCCTACCCTCAGTGAATACAGTGAACTCCTTCCCCCCTTTCTTCCCTTTCTTCAAATTTCTAAAAATCAAAAATTAATATGTTTTTGTTAACCCACTTTCTTCCACCTTTCCCCATAAGATTTGCTGCTTAGGCCCAGCTCTCCTTTGTAATTTTTCCAGCAGGATTTACATCAGAGTAAGCAAGAATAGGATTGCACTGAGAATTCTTCAAGTGAGGATTTTGTCATACATCAATAATTTGCAAGTCAGAATTGAGGGGGACCTCACACACCTTTGGATGTTCTTCCAATGATTTGAATGAATGAAATGTCTGTCTGTCTGTGTTCATCTTTCTATATAAAAATGTGTTGGCTTCACTCACTCAAGAAGATATCGGAATCTTTAAGGTTCTTCTACATCAGTGTGGAAAGCTGAACACCACAGTCCAACCCTGGTCAAAAGTAATAATTGGTTTTATCATAAAATCATAGAGTTGGAAGGGACCCCAAGGGTCATGAGTGATTAGATATTCCAGGATAGAATTGAGGATACATTTATCAATGCGTATCCTTGAACACATCTCACTGAAAGTACTGAAGTGGGTGTAGATGGTACCTGCCTGGGGATGCATATCTGGCTTATGCTTGAAGTTCTTGTTTCAGCTGGTGATATGTATGTGGATGCCTGTTGTGGATGAGTGCTCACTGGAAGGACAGATCCTGAAGCTGAGGCTCAAATACTTTGACCACCTCATGAGAAGACTCTCTGGAAAAAACTCTGATGTTTGGTAAGATTGAGGGCACAAGGAGAAGGGGACTACAGAGGATGAGATGGTTGGACAGTGTTATAGAAGCGACCAACATGAATCTGACGAAACTCTGGGAGGCAGTGGAAGACAGGAGTGCCTGGCATGCTCAGGTCCATGGGGTCACGAAGAGTCAGACATGACTAATTGACTAAACAACAACAATGTATGTGGAAGTCTTTTCCCACATGTGAGGAGGAGGCATAGGGCAGCAGCTAAGAGACTGGGCTACAAATGAGAAACTCCCTTGTTGGAATCTTCCATCTCTGCCATGAACACACAGAGGAGTCCTAGCCTTCTGCCCTCCAATTCTACAATAGGGAGATAAAAATCAACCTTACAGGGTTGTTATAAGAATAACAAGGCGATGTGCCTATTAACATATACAAATGCATTATAATACAAAGTTGTTATAATTGGCTTGGATCCATAGTGGCACTTCCCTCAATCAATCTATTGGTATATAGACAAAATTCCAAAAGGTTTGGTACAGTAAAATCACTCAAAAAAATCTGCATCTAACAAATTAAAATACTCTTGTATAACATTCACGAATCCTCGTGGCACGTTGCAGAAACCTGGCTACTATCTCCATCTGCATAAACTGCACCACTGCTTGTTGAACTTAGATTGAATTGTCTGATACAAGGGGTAGTGCAAAAGAACATGCACAACTGATTCTATAGGATTCTGTTCGCAGGGACATAGTCTCTCTGCAAGTGGTATTTTATGGAATCTCCTCTGTAGTACTGCCAATGGCAGCAAATTCAGTCTCACTAGCACGTACGCCTTGGCACTTTCCTGGATGTCTTTTTTATGCTTTATTGGTTTTAAAAACAAAACAACACAAAACAAAACAGTTAACAAAAACAATCCAAAATCAATACTAATTACAAAAAAATTAGATTCATACATAACTGATTCCAACATGATTTCCAACCCCCCCCCATTGTGGTTCCTAAATTACATTTTTGACTACTCACTTAATTTTCTCTTTCCTAAGTTGTTTTGGTTGTATTGGTTTTGTAAAATTCTCTTATTTCTTGCAGAAGTCAATCCAGGCCTGCCAAAGAATTTAGATTTTTACAATGTTATTTTAGGTATACTCTGTAAATGTCCCACTCTCTGTTAAATATTGGTCTGTATAATCTCTGAATCTTGCTGCTAATCTTGCTAACTCTGCATATTCTAATGTTTTGTTCTGCCAATCCAATTTAGAGGGAATGGAGTCTCCTTTCCTGAATGTCAGAGGACCTTATGTTTACAAAAAGGTTGCTAATCCAGTGGAGGCTGTCACCTGCAGAAATGGATTCGCCTCCTCCCTATTCCATGAGCAGGAGATACCATGAGTTCAAATCCCTTCATGGGCCATCTAGAATCATCCCAATTTGTATGGATTTCCTCATCAGGGCAGAAGCTTAATACCCATAATCGTGTAGTCCAAGATAATTTAGCCCTGTTCTGGCATACTACTCATACCTTTTGTTGAAGTGTAAGCTGTGGAATGGGGCTTTGCCAGCTAGTTCTGCCCCTAATATCACAGAATTTGGCTGGCCCCAACTCTGCTATCTGTGCACAGTTGGAGCTAGGCAGAGTATGTGTGATCAGGGGTAGGCCTCACTGGTTTAGCCCCACTAATGAAGTGAGTGGTTCCTCAGAATGAGGCTTCCAGTTACTGGAAATGTCTGACATCTTCCCCATGAAATTTAAACAACAGTATTAATTCTGCTTCATAAGAGTGGCAGAGGTGGAGTTAGGGGAGCACAACCAGTTCGAAGGGGTGCTGAATTTTGGTGTCGCACAGGGTGCCACTGAAATTTGAAACCCCAAGATGCACCACTGATTTTGGCCTTCATTCCCACATGGGAAAAAGCAAAATGGGGACACATTGTTGAGCGGTGGGAATTGCAAAGCAGCCTCACATTAGAAGAAGGGAATTTGCTGTCCAAATCTGGGGCAATTTTCATGTACACATGCTGTCGACAATTATCAGATTAAGGAAAAGGGAAAGAGGGATTATCCGTTTTAGCTGGAAAGTCTCAGTGCTTGCAAACTGCAAGAGGCATTTATCAATATATAAAGTGGGCATAATAGATTGGCATACCAAAGTGATCTGAAATTTAATCCTTGGGTTGATCTTGCCAAAAGGAACAGAATTAGCCATATATTTTGCCCACAGAAACATTTCACTTAAATGCTGTTTCTCGATGGCGAAATAAACAACCACCACATTTAAAGGTTTTAAATCAAAATGATTTTTTTAATCATTTTAATAAATATATATCAAGAAAAAAAACTCACTTTACTACAACACCACTTAGTATACAAGTACCTAAATATCTAAGCTTAAAACATCAGATGTTTGACATATACTGGAAAAGAACAGATTTTTCTATTCTCAACTGAATATAAACACAAGAAAAATCAGCAATTAAAAAAAAAAAGGTCCATGTGGACAAATGACTAAATGATCCTACTCATACACTGTATGAATGAGACCTATATTTAATATTGATAGCTATTTTTAAAAATGCTTTTGTCTTGGAGAAATAAGGTAGGATAATTTTTAAAAATATTAGAATTGATCATCCTTGCAAATTTCTTGCTTTTGGCATAGATAAAGGTTATATTTAATTCTCTGCAGAATTTTGTCTTTGTATTTCCAAGAAATACACCCAAGAAAGGTAGAAATATCTTCAACACAATCATACCTTATGCAAATGACAAGCTGTTAACGATGACAACAGAATGTGTTGGTCTACTGTGCAATCTCACCTAGGTGTTTTAAAAAGAATGCAGGAGGGTGGGTGGGTGGAATAGAACAAAGGAAAACACTGAAATCCGTAATGAAGTTGTCCCTGGTCAAGGACTTGTTTCTTCATGGCTGGCTCCTAAGGTCTTGAGATTTCTGCTTTGCATCCCTTCCCAGCTGTTGGAGTGTCCCTCACCTGACCCATCTGCTTGCTTGTGTAGTTCTATGACTAGTCCCACGTTCTCAGATTTGGAAGCCCTGTTAAAATCCACCCATATTATCCTTCTTCCCCTGCTCAGCTCTGGCTTGCAGCAGATGTGGAAGCATAACAGCTTGGCTAACCTGGTGGCCCATGGGTGTCACAAACAGATAACGGCACAGCAAGGTCACCCACTGCACTGCCCACTCACATTCCTGAACCCTACATATTTCAAATTGGTTTAAAATCCCTACCACATTTTCAGCTTTGTCCCTACAGTGAGCTCCCAGTTCCACTGTTAAAATAAAACCAGGGGAAATTCTCACTGGTTGCTAGTTGCAGGTACCTAGGCCACCACCATACAGATAATCCCTGGGATCTATTTTGAGGAGCTACAATGGACCTTCCATATCTGCAATTAGGTCGAACGGGTTCTCAGGTCAAACCTGAGCATAGGAAGTGCCTTATACCGTGCCAGACACTGTATCCATCTTGCCAAATATTGTATGCTCTGGCTGGCAGCAGCCCTCTGGCAGAAGTCCTTCCTATCACATGCTGGCTGAGAACTGCATCAAAAGTGTGCCCATAGGGGAACAGGAGCTGCTGAATAGTTAATTAGCCTCACTTGGCCCCTTTGTCTGCAACCTGTAGACTGTAGGGTGAGGAATGAGAGATTTGAGAGATACTATAGAAGTCACTTTCCGATGACCTATTTATTGTGCCTTCATCCCAGTTTGTTTATGGGTAGGTTAGACGTTTTCCAGCACATTTTCCCATCACTTTCCATATCACAAAAAGTCTGAATTTGCAGGTGGGGGATTTGCAGGTTAAATCAACAGCACAATCTGAATCTGCTGGTACATGATTGAATCCCACTCGAAAATAGCACAATCTGGAAGTGCCCATAGTTATTTGAGTAATCCATGTGGCTATTGCACTGGGAATAAAAAATAGAGGTTTAAGGGAACAGCAAACAGGCCTTGAAGATCAAACACACACACACACCTTTCTTTTGTGTGTGGGGTGTGTGACAGGAGGTTACAATTGAATACACCCTGCTGATAATTTGGAATTCTGTGGTGACTGAAACATAGAGTAAGTCTCAGTTAAAGGACGCTCTTCATTTGCCCCTAAACAAAAACAAGGGCAAGATTCAGTCAAAGTTAAGCGTTGTGCTAAAATTAAGATTGCTCTTAATTCAGGTCTTGCTCTCCTGTGGGGAGGATAAATGTAAAGAGCTGGGTGTCCCCCCCCCCCATCTGGTTGGTTGGTTCTTTCAGCAATCAAAATATCTTGGTGATTTCAGTGGGGCAAAATTCATGGTGTGCCTAACCCTCCCCCTGTTACGTGTGGGATTCAAACGGGCTGAACTTCAGCCAGATCCTGCTCAAAATGTGTGTTTTAAATTGAAGACACCTGAAAATGAACAAAATGTGCTTCTTACAATTGAAGATTATCCCCCCTGTTTCTCCAAGGTAATCTTTTAAAAAAAAATTAAAACCCTTACATTCATTTCAGATAAAATCTTATATCACCACATCATTTAGTAACATTGTGCTTTTCTTCCCCAAAATAAAAAAAAACCCTAAAGTTATATGAAACCCCAGTACATGCTCTTTACAATTTTGAAGAGAGAAAATGATGTGAAACAGAATAAAGTATAAAGCATGCCACTGGTTCATGAACTTCATTATACCAGGAAAAAAAGGGAAAAATCACAGCAACAGACAGTTGCCATAGAAATGTTCAAGCCGCTAATGCTTGTTTACAAGAGACATCTCTCTATTGTTTCTTCTTCTTCTTCAATCCTTCCTAACTATGGCAAATCAAAAAGCAATTGAGCAAAAACGAAGAATAGATGCATTTGAATAGGAAATCAAACACAGTATTTCAAAGGATACAGGTTTCTAATAATATTCGATCCACCCTGTTATTATTATTTTATTTCCTGTTTAGGTTACATCCCTGCTGAAGCTGTTTCTGTTTTCATTTGTTTGTTTGTTTTTTTAAAAACAACAACAACAACTTAATTTTCACCCTGGAAAAATTAAGATTAAAAAGTAAGGCACCAAAGAAATTCTGCCCTTTATAGCAACAAACCACCATAAGGCTCACTCATTCTTGCAGCTTAGCTGAAAACTGTGCATGTGCTGGAACTGTTTGCTTCTGATTAAGATTCCATAAAAGGTCTTATTGCAACCAGTTGGGTCACTTGAACCAGACACATAAATACATCTGAATGGTATCAATACTAGATAACGATATGGATGTTTTCCTCTTCAACTCTCCCTACTCTTTCTCACGGCCATTATTCTTGGGCAAGAAGTAGACCTCCCCCTTTGCTGGTAATAATTTGTTTATCAGATATATAATTAATTGATATGCACAAAGGAGATTCCTCTTAATACATGTCAGACTCCCCAGGGGGCTAGGTGAAAAGGGTTGTTTGTTTTCTCCATCTGGTTTATTGGTTTTCCTCAGCGACAAAAGCTAAAATACACATTGCAATTCAACTGAGCTCTTTATGAAGATTCCATATATGTATCAATAGCTCTGCGATGCAGACCATACATACATACGCTCCAACACACTCTGCTGCCAAGTCCTTTAAACTATCCATGAAGCTTGTGATATGATTGTATTGGCGGTATAAAAGTATCAGAAAAATTCATCCGGAATGAAATATTGTTCGATAAATTCAACATGCTTGTGCGTGCTTTAGAACTGCAGTTATTAGGAAGGTGGTTCATATTTTACTTCCTTTACTGCAACATATTTTGCCACCTGGTAAGCATTCCCTTTTCCGTAACGATTTCTTCCAAGATTCGTTCATGTTGCTCTTGTCAGCACGCCCCGTCTCAAAATAATCATAACATTTGCTTTTACATGCAATGCCATGGTCACTTTTCATAGGCTCCCAATCTGAGGCACGGTCTCGTTCTATATCGTGGCTTCCTTTCTCATCGGTTAATACGGTCTTGTCCTGGTTCCCATGCAGCCCAGCATTAGTAATGAAAATTTCATTGATGTGTATCTGATCATCGCTCCGGTAAACTGGGGTGCTGCCAACACCATATTCCGCCTGTTGGGAACAACTTGGCATAGATATCGAAGAGGAGGAGGAGGAGGAAGAAGAGGAGGAGGAGGAGGAAGAAGAAGAGGAGGAGGAGGAGGAAGAAGAGGAATTTCCCATTGCAGAATTAGCAGACAATGGCAAACTTAAATAGTGGCTGTTGCATTCTTGGTAAAAACAGCAGGTGTGGATCTTTTCGCAGTCCTCCCTTGCCATCCGAAGGCGTTTTCTATAAGGACAGTCATGAGAAACAAACCACTCCTGGGCAGAGGGGCCCCCAAAGGAGCAAGCAGGGAAGCACCAGTTGTTTTGCATGATAATTTCCCCATGAATTCTCTTCATTAAATTGTTTATGAGGACGGATCTCCTTAAGTAGACTTCGGGGTCGTCAATGTACTTCAGTTTTTCCAAAGACATGTAAAGGATATGCGCCCGCTCCTCAAAGACGGATATCGTCTACAGATGAAAGAGAGAGGAGGTAACAACAACAAATTATTAATATTCTGTTGGGAGCCACCCAGAGTGGCTGGGGAAACCCAGCCAGATCAGCTATTATTATTATTATTATTATTATTATTATTATTATTATTATTGGTGTAATGCAGATCAGCTGAAACATGTTGTTGAGATTCTACCTGTCTGATCATCATTTAACACTTCATATTTATTTTAAGACAGGGGTGCCCAAACATTTTTCAAAGAGGGCCAGATTTAATGAAGTGAACAAGCATGAGGGCCAACCATAGTTATTGACCTTTCTTTTAGGATGGAAGTTTTACGATTTTACCCCAAAGTTGTTGAGCTTCTTTGAGGATTGAAGTTGTCGAGCTATTTTGGGGATTTCCCCCCAGAAAATAAATTGCCACAGGGGCAGGGATTATACCAGCAGGCCGGATTAGGCCCCCAAAACAGACTTAGAACATGCCTGTTTTAAGACTTCTCTGCCCTGCCCTCCAGCACATTCAACTCCCCCAAACCAGTAGCTGATTAGTGTGCTTGTCATTACCAAAGTGCAGCCCAGGAAAGCTAGTTAGTCAATAGCCAAGATCTGAAGGAATCGAGACCATATGGTCCCAGGAGAAGGGCTGTAGCCTAGTGGTAGAGCATCTCTTTTGCATGCAGAAGGTCCCAGGTTCAATCCCAGGCATCTCCAGGTAGGACTGGGGAAAGACTTCTGTCTGAAACCCTGGAGAGCTGCTACCAGGCGTGTACTGAGCTGGAAGAACCAACAGTCTGAATTATAATAAGGCAGCTTCCTATGTTCCTGTGTTCCGGTGCTGGGATATTGACATTTTTCAATGTTAGTTCAGCTGTGAGGAATCTTCTTGAGCCAACTGTGTCCTTGTGGAGAATAGTATATATGCAGAAAGGGGAAAAACTGAAACAAACCAAAAATTATCTGTACTTTTGAGCAGTACCATACTTCCTCCAACAATCGTTAGCTTCCATGGCAGGGGAAAAATATTTCTAATGAAGAAATGACTCAAATGAGATTTGCAGGAACGTGAATTAACCAGAGGGTTAATTTAACCAGAGATGTTTTTATCTGGAAAAAAGCTTCTTTCCTTATAATACACAGGCTAATTTCATATCCATAACAGACTCTCAAGAGACTCTCCTTCCTTGGAGTTTTTTAAGCAGAGGTTAAGCAGAGGCTGTCTGTTGTGTATGCTCTAGTTCAGATTCCTGCATTGCAGAGGGCTGAACTAGCTGGTCCTTGGGGTCTCATCCAGCACTACAATTCTGATACTATGAACTCAGCAACCCTTAAGTATCTATATGTTCCTATCATAAGGCTTAGAGCTGTCCTTCTGTTTGCCAAAGGGACTGCAATCCCGCAGGAATTCATGCTGGAAAAGAGGGAAGATTACTTTCGCCATGTTCCCCTTTTCACTGCAGTCCCTTCCCCAATGGTTTTCTAGAGGGATCCAAGAAGCATTCCAGGGAAAGGATGGTGATGGACGTGCCTGGAACCTCCATTGGTGCTTCACTGAGCAGCATACCCAACCTCCTCAACCCACAAAAAACAAATTGTATTAAAAAAAGAAAGAAAAAGTAATGTGGCAACTGGTGTCAGCTGTGAGAGCCAGCATGGTGTAGTGGTTAAGAGCGGTGGACTCGTAATCTGGTGAACTGGGTTCGCTTCCCTGCTCCTCCACATGCAACTGCTAGGTGAGCCACCTGAAGGTACACTGTCACTTCCTGTTTTGTGAAGTGGCTTCTTGCTATTTGCATAGGAGCAGAAGCAGATACAGAAAACAGGAAGTGATGTCATCTATTTAATTATGCAGCAGGCTAGAGTGGGGAAAGCTCCAGAGAATTTCTTCAAGTTCAGAAGCCTTGGTGAAGGAAGCGTGGGCTACCAGCCCATAGATTTGCTCTTGGCACAATTGCCTCCTTTCTTCCTCTCTTGATAGATTAAGATAAGCCAAAACATACGCAAATACTGTATGAGAAGAAAAAGATATTCCTCTCTGTGTCTTGTTTTTCTTGTTCCGATTTTCCCTTGTGGCCAAAGAATTTTGGCAGAGAGGAAAAATCTTTCCTATGGAGATAATAAGGTCCATTTTTCTCATAGCCTCTCTCAAAACAATGCAGCACCCTTTCCCTTTGAGCAAAACCTTCTGTGCATCTTGACAACACTTCTGGTGCTTTAGAAACTAGTTCCAGGCTTTGCACTATCCCACTTTGAAACGGAATTCATTATTAATTTCTAACAAACGGCTATTTCTAGGGGAAATATGCAATGCAAAAAAAAGCATGCTATAAGTGAAAAAAAATGAAGTAATTAGTTACCCAGCTTCAGAAATATTGTTTCTGAAATAAACACAGTTTTATACAAGAAGTTCATTGTATGCACTCAGTGGTGGGGTTTTTTGTTTGTTTTTTAAAGACTTCTCATAGTCCCTGGCTCAATTGCAGTCAGTATTGCCATGACTAGAAACCAACAAATATCTGGCAGGCTGCAAAGCTTTCTGTGAAACTATCTGCTGGTCTCTGTCCAGTTCCCAATGGAAAACTATCTGCTTTACAAAAATCACCATCACATTTGGCAACCTTACTTAGCAAAAAGGTCATGATGCACATGAAGCATAGAATCCAACATTCCCCTGGGCTTAAAGCTTAATTTTCCAGATGTCTGGGCAATGTGGCAAGCTTGCAATGCTCTTATACATTAATTTGCTCTCCGTAGTATATTTTCAGTAGGCTAAAAAGAAAGATCTAAGTTGCAAGGTCTGCAAAATTGCTACCTGATCTCATGAGGGGTGGGAGTGAACAATGAATTAGGTAAGAACTGTATATCTAAACAGTGGGTATTCTGTAAAACACTGCTTTCCTAATACTGACACCTACCATGATTCAGAAACTAGAAAGTTTGATATCCACTGGGAGTGATCTTCAGGACTATTCCTTTCCAGTGGCACTTTTAGCTATACAGTATTCCATTTCTTTTCATTCACTATGATGAGCTATTCTGTAAATCTGCTTTTGGGGAACAAAGTCCATGTTTTTGTTTCAGTTTTTTAGCCCATTGCCTCTCAAACATTTCATATTTCAGCTAATGCCACCAGGAACAGCAAACAGGTAAATGTGGTGGTGGTTTGTTTTTTTTTCTTGCTCTGGAGCGTTATTTTATGAGTATGCTGAAGCAAAGCTACATATTACATTAAAACTTCCCTTTGCAGACGTTTTGCCTCTGTTTGGAATTTGTGGGAATATAGTAACAAGGACCTCAACAACAGCAGCATTTGCTACATGTCCCAATGAAAAATAGTATGTGAATGGAAAACAAAGTTGCTTTTTAATGTTATTCTGGCTATCTGAATTGCTGAGCCTTCAGCAGAGTGAAATGTAAAGCAATTGCTTGTCACAAGAAATAAACACCTAACCCTTGAACAATAGCAGAAGGGGCACAACTGGATGCTATGGAAGGAGAATTATTATCATTATCAATGTCAATTAAATTTGTATACCACCCTTTGTCCATCGATCTCAGGGCAGTTCGCAGCATAAAAAAGACAAAACATATACTAAAAGTCATAGAAGCTGGCTCTACTCTGATCAGTTATGGGTGAATTCTGCTCCCTCCTCAGCAGGGTCTGCAAACCCTATTCCTACTCTTCAAGAGGATTCACTGACCCTCGAGAAAAGCTTTCAAGGGGCTCAGAGTAGGACACTGGGGAGAAAGTGATGGGGGAAAACCCCTTTTTGTAAACTTCCTTCCGTCTGCAATTGTTTCCTGTCCACCAATGCACAGCCATTCTAAGATGTAAACTGGCTCTCATGATTCTTACAACAACCCCTTAAGGTGGGCTCTAGTTAGGTGCAAGGAGCTGCAGCTGAAGGTTAAGGCTGTCCAATGTGTTTTTGGCTGAGTTGAGATTTAGCTTGGACATCTGGCATCTGGACATCTGGATTCAGGATCTTCCCATGCTTCCATCCCATTCCTTCCCTCACTATCAGTAAAATCTGGACCAGGCATTTCCCAGATTTATCTAAATGGGATCAGTCAGTCCTTACCCAGGATATTTTGCCCAAGTTTCATCCTACAATTTAGGCCAGGCGAAGCAGCCTACATCAGGCGGTAGATTTGGGGGCACCATTAAATTATATATATATATATATATATATATATATATATATATATATATAATGCCATTGAACAAGGTGACATTTGTATGCTTTGTCCCAGCCTCCAAAATGTCTTTGGCTACCACCATCTTTATCTGCTAGGTAATGGGGATTCAATATTGTGGGGGAGGAAGATCATGCAATGCAGCAGAATTGGGAGTGGTATCAGTGGTGGATTGCAAAGGTGGAAGCCAGGGACACAGCTGTTTGTTCTGTTTTACTCCTGGTTTACTCCTGTTTCCCTTGGACACCATGGGCATTTGCCATCCAGCAGATCGAGAGCAGCAAGAAGAATGCCAGGAGTGTCCCAGTGAGGGCCAACCCAGGTTTCATCTGCCTCATCCAGCATGAACCTGAGAGCCTAGAAGTTTAGAGCACATGGCTGGAAGACTATTCAGATGCATTGTTCAGAGACATGGGATCATCCCACAGAGAAGTAGCTCCCTTCTGTGTACACACAAAGCTAAGTATGGAGACACTGAATGGTGACATGAAGGAGGAACCTTATTATTGAATTAATTCGTATGGATTTAATAGGTTTGCTGTACTATTTTTTAGAGATGTACCGTATTTTTCGCCCTATAGGACGCACTTTTTCCCCTCCAAAAATGAAGGGGAAACGTGTGTGTGTCCTATGGGGCGAATGCAGGCTTTCGCTGAAGCCTGGAGAGCGAGAGGCTTCAGGAAGCTATCCGCAAGCCTCACGCGTCCAGCGGGAGGCCCTGCCGGGCGTGCAAGGCTTGGGACGGCAGCCTGCATCCCGAAGCAGGGGGCGAGTTGCAGAGCCCGCCCCCTGCTTCGGGCAGATGTCGGCAAGCCTTGCACGCAAGGCTTGGGGCGGCAGCCTGCATCCCAAAGCAGGGGGTGAGCTGTGGAGCCCGCCCCCTGCTTCGGGCAGGTGTCGGCAAGCCTCGCGCGCAAGGCTTGGGGCGGCAGCCTGCATCCCGAAGCAGGGGGCAAGCTGTGGAGCCCGCCCCCTGCTTCGGGCAGATGTCGGCAAGCCTCGCGCGTAAGGCTTGGGGTGGCAGCCTGCAGCCCAAAGCAGGGGGCAAGCTGCGGAGCCCGCCCCCTGCTTCGGGCAGATGTCGGCAAGCTTCGCCCGCAAGGCTTGGGGCGGCAGCCTGCATCCCGAAGCAGGGGGCGAGCTGTGGAGCCCCCCCCCCCCGCTTCGGGCCGATGTCCGCAAGCCTCGCACGCCCGGCGGGAGGTCCCGCTGGGCGCGCAAGGTTTGGGGCGGCAGCATGTTCTGGGGGCTGGGGTCGGGGGAAGCTTGGGCTTCCCCCGCGCCTGCCCCGTGCCTGGGGGGGAAATAATTTTTTTTATTTAATTCCCCCCCCCCCAAAAAAACTAGGTGCGTCCTATGGGGCGGTGCATCCTATGGGGCGAAAAATATGGTATGTGACTTTAATTTGTGTTATATTTTTACATGTGCTATGTTTTAATATATTGATTATTCTGATATGTTGTCTTAACAGAGGTGCTTGCTATGGAGCACTTTGGGTTCTTCCCGGGAATGGGAAAATGAAATATAGGCAGTAAATGAAATGAAATGCATTACAAAAAGGAAATGTGCTCCAAGACTCATTGGGTATACAGTCGTACCTCGAAAGTCGAACAGAATCCATTCCAGAAGTCCGTTCGACTTCCAAATCATTCAGAAACCAAGGCATGGCTTCCAATTGGCTGCAGGAAGCTCCTGCAGTCAATCAGAAGCTGTGTCGGACGTTCGGGTTCCAAAGAATGTTCTTAAACTGGAACACTCACTTCCGGAATTGCGGCGTTTGGAAACCAAAACGTTTGACTCGCAAGGCGTTCGTCAACCAAGATACGACTGTATAAGCGTTCAGGGTGTCTATATCTGATTGTTGTAAAAAAAGCAAAAGTGACAGCTATTCCATTCATCATACTAGTTGAGTGCAAGTGGAGGGAAAGCAGATACAGATATATTTAAAACAAAACAAAAAAGAAAGAAAGAAACAGGAACTGAAATATGGACGTAACCCAGGTGGAGTATTTTCAGATACAAGCAGTGGAACACAGTAGAGCCTGAAGGCACACACATGGGTTACGTCCATATTGGGTTGATTGCTAGCTGGGATCCACATGCATGTTGCATTCGGCTTCAAGGCAGATTCCTAAAGATTGCTCTCTGAAACTTACTTTAGGTGTACAGCTGCTGAGTGGGGGGTGGAAGTCCTCCTCTTCCACATATTTCCTTTTAAAGTACGTGATCTTGGATGTTGTTACAGGATTTGAAATTCCTCTGTGGTGAGATCCTGTGAGAAAATAAATAGCATGTAGCAATCTGTCTGAGGTTCCCCCCACTCAAAAAAACAAAAAGTAGAAGAAAAGCCTTATCCGTTTCTTCCCCAGTGCATCAGAACTCTTCTACATATTTCTTTATATGCTTATATAGCATTAACAAAACAGAAATTCAGTTTAATAATAGTTTTTGTGAGAAAATGCTGAAGGCAATGAATGGTTGTGCTGCAAGACCGTTTAGGAAACAAGTCTGTTTATTTAAGCACAGTTGTCATGTGAGCTTAAGCACCCTTTGCATACTTGACTTCAAGGAAACATTCATTCTGTCTGTTCAAGCCATTTGAAAAACTGCAACGTTCACGACTACACTCTGTAGTAGTTCGAGGAATTAGACAGGGCTGATTAAGTTTAATGCATTGGTAGCATAAGTATTAGTTGCTAAAGATTTATAAGTTTGGCTTAACTTTCTTGGAAAAGGCTGAGACAACTCTCCAAATTATTGGGAAGGGGAATTATTAACAGATGTAGTTAAGTGGGCTGCTACCTGTGAAAATTAATGCTACGTTAATCAAGAATTTGATTTGAATAACTAAAGTGCCAGAGCTTTTTTTAGTCACCCCTATCCCCAAAAAAATTCAATTCTTAACAACAGTACACTTACATCACCCTCCTCTGGCAAGAAAAAAATGCTGGGCTCATGGGAAGACAAATCCAATTTGTAATTTATTTATCAAATAAGCATAATTTGCTGTAATAACCAACTTGGGATGGTGCCCTTTAAGCCCAATAGAAAGGAAGTTATTTGGAACAGGTAGCCAAAAATGTAATTACTTTGAGCTCTTTTGAGACCAATGGATACCGTAATCTAGCCTGGGTCACAATACTCCAATCAAACCATATGCTACCATTGAGAGTGAAATTTTAATTACTGCCTAGCACTTAATATGGCCACCTGTTTGGGGTTTATTGCATTTTCCTCCTAGTGTTAATTTCAACCTCCAATAAATGATGTGTAAGACAAACCGGGTGGCATCTAGTTTCCTTTGCAGCAGAACACCCCCAAGTCTACATGTGGCATGTTAGTTAGTGACTTAGTTAGATAGTTAGTTAGTTTATTAAAAAAGACTGTACTGACAGTTAGCCAACAAGCTCATGCAATGGCTGCAGGCAAAATATAAAAACATTTAAGCAATCACCAGTATTGAAAACTAGCTAGTTCTACAGTTACATTTACAGTTACAGTTATCAATTTAGAATTTTAATCTTATCCTCCCCCCCCCCAGGCTTTTTCTCAAATATATTTAGAACCAGGCCTTATTAGATAGCCAAAGAATGGCATTTCAAAGCAAAGTAGACTAAGGCTGCATACACACCATATATTAAGAGTGCCCACACCCACACCAAGAATCCTGGAAACTATAGTATGTTAAGGGTGCTGGGAATTGTAGCTCTGTGAGGGGTAAATTACAGTTCCCAGGATCCTTTCGAGGGTGGGTGTGCTTTAACTGTGTGCAGTGGCGTAGCGTGGGGGGTGCAGGGGGGGCCGGCCGCACCGGGCGCAAAATCTGGGGTTAGGGCAAATCCACAGGTTAGGGGGCGCAAATCCACGGGTTAGGGGGCGCAAATTACTTGACTTGCCCCGGGTGCTGACAACCCACGCTATGCCACTGACTGTGTGGTGCATGTGCAGGCTCAATGTCTCTAAACATGCTGAAGAAAACACAATTTGCCCTTCCACATCTATAGTTACTTGTAAGTAAGGCCTAGCAGAGTGTTTCTCAAACTTGAGTCTCTAGCTGTTGTTGGACTACAGCTCCCATCATCCCTGACCTGCTAGCAAGGGATGATGGGAGTCGCAGTCCAACAATAGTTGGAGACTCAAGTTTGAGAAACCCTAGCCTAGCGTATCCAAGTTTAGATGATCATCTAAACCATGGCTAAGTGATCAGGAACGATCTCTTTGGGTAATTTTGGGCTCATGCACTCCCCTCTCCTTTCAACCTTCTTTGTATTCAAGAGGTGCTGCCTTAAAGCTTCCAATTTTATTCCATAACTATCCACAGCTCCACATTTACATCAACATCTGGGGAGTTTTAATTTTAAGCAGAATTATTCAACAAAACTGGATCTGTCTGACTCTGATTTGTTTTAAGTAACTTTGGCTAGAATAAACCACAATTCCACCAGCAGTTCCTTACTTCTCATGTTGTGTGCATAAGAATAGAACGAGAGGGAATTATCTAGACCAACTTCTCATCGAGACCAACTTCTGACAACTGGATGGGGCTGGTGGGGGTTGTAATCCAAAACATCTGGAGGGCACCAGGTTAGCAAAGGCTGGTCTAGACCATGGGACCATGATGTATTCAAATCTTCCCATAAATCATAGCGTTGTGCCTGAAATCCTCAAAGTTTTGCCCTGAATTCAGATTGCAGATAGGACATGTTGTGGAAACCCAGGGCCTACATGTTACATGTTATCTTAATTGTGCAGCTTGCAGGCATATGGGGGGGGGCAATTTAATCCTAGGTATGTAGGAGCAAACGGGACGCGGGTGGCGCTGTGGGTAAAAGCTTCAGCGCCTAGAGCTTGCCGATCGAAAGGTTGGCGGTTTGAATCCCCGCGGCGGGGTGCGCTCCTGCTGCTCGGTCCCAGCGCCTGCCAACCTAGCAGTTCGAAAGCACCCCCGGGTGCAAGTAGATAAATAGGGACCGCTTACTAGCGGGAAGGTAAACGGCATTTCCGTGTGCGGCTCTGGCTCGCCAGAGCAGCGATGTCACGCTGGCCACGTGACCCAGAAGTGTCTGCGGACAGCGCTGGCCCCCGGCCTCTAGAGTGAGATGGGCGCACAACCCTAGAGTCTGTCAAGACTGGCCCGTACGGGCAGGGGGTACCTTATGTAGGAGCAAGGACTGAATTTACATGTGCATCAATGGAAACTTTTTTCTATGTCTTTTTGTAGTGAAGGGGTTTTTTCCCCCTCCAGGATTGCACTTGGGGAGAAAAAGGTTAGACCTCCCCTGCCCTGTGTACTGTGGCCCCAGTGGAAACCTCCCACAAGCCATGCCTAGGTATAATTGACATAATGTGTAAGGCCTTCAGCGATGTGGAAAGGATGCTCTGTGTGCACTAAGAGACTGCAAATGCAGAAGACTGGTTCTCAGATGCATGATGAGGTAGTAAAATCATCTCTAGACCACATCACTTCAGACTGCAGGTAGGAACTCTTGTGATTAAGTTCACGTCCATTCACCACTCCCTGGGGCCAAAAAATAAAGTCCTACCAAAAAGGGGCATGTCAGGGAGAGCAATGACCTACAGTTGATCTGAATGGCATCCCAGATTATCTACCTGGAGATTCTCTCTCTCTCTCTCTCTCTCTCTCTCTCTCTCTCTCTCTCTCTCTGTGTGTGTGTGTGTGTGTGTTACCTTGTATAGAGGAACATCAATCATGTTAGTTCCTACCCCTAGCCTGAAGTAGCATCATCTAGACACAGATTTGTCGCTTCATCTTCTCTCTGTGAGGACTATGCCCCAAAGACACTCTTTTGTCTTTATTATTCCCTCTTATGCTCTGGGACTCCTCTGTACCACCAACAGCAAGCTCTGGGATTTGGTGAGTCTCTTTGATTTTTTCTTTTCTTTTCAAAGCCAGCCACTGCAAAGCATCTATTTCCTCTGGTTTGAGTCAGGGCACCTTCAGTCTTTGTCCCACACTTATCTCCCGCACCGGAGGGGCTCAGAGTGAGATCTTAACACCTGCAAAAGTGCATTGGAGCAGGTGGCGCAAAACTAGCCTCCCCAGATAACTAAAATGCTAATCCTTAAGGCAGTTCTAAGTGGCTGCAAAAGATTCCTGCACAAATGCTTTTGCCCTGACACTTCTCCTTACAGAGCAGAGCAGCGGGAGCAGCCCTGATACCCGAACAAAGCCTTCAAGTGCAGAGATAGTGTCCTTCTTGTGTACCAGAGGAGGACAACAACAATGGGAGGTTCTTGTCTTCAGACCTGGCCACCAGTTTTCCAGGAACATCTTGTTTGCCCCTGTTGGAAAGAGGATACTGGACAAGGTGGGCATTTAGACCCTTATTCAGCACAGGATTCACTGGGTGACCTTGAGCCCTCAGTCCCTCTCAACCTGACCTACCTCGAGGGGTTGTTATGAGGATAACACGGCGCGCGCTCAGGGGGGAGGCCATATATTGCCCATATCTCTTTCGTGTAAGCATCCAAGAATGACTACAGACTTACACACACACTACTGTTGTGATTTTGGAGAAAGAAGCCGGAGATGGTGGTTTGATGCTGATGCAACCGACTGCAAGCCCTGAGCCACCTCCTTACCTGGCGCCGGGGGCTGCCCAGCCGCTGCCCTGCTGTCGTTGCTCGGTGGCGGCGGCAGCGGCTGCGCTTGGCCCGGGTTGCTGCTGGCGGCGGCGGCGGCTGCATCCGAGGCGGGGCTGCTCTTGCTGCAACAGCGCGACTCCCACAGCGGCTGGAACTCGGCGGCTCCTTCGGAGGAGACAATGGGCTCGCAGAAGCTGCTCAGGGGCAGCACCAGAGTCATCGCGGCGCCTCCGATCTGCAAGTGGAGACAAAGGTAGAGCGCGACCCGTCAGGTCAGGCAGGCAAGCAGCCGCCCGCCCCTTGCCCTGCCCTGCCCTGCCCTGCCTTGCCCGAGCGGCAGCGGCATCAGCGGCCATTGCGTGCCTGCGCCCCGCAGTCAGCCTGGCATCTGCCGCTGCCATCGAGGGATCCTCTCTCTCTCTCTCCCCCCAGCCTCTTGCTTTGCCTTTTCTCACCCAGGTTTTGCCCTCTCGCGCTCCAGGTTTCACGCGCTCGGGAGCATTCCCCCTTCGCCTTCCTTGTCTTCGCTTGGCACGGATTCTGGCTCACATTCCCGGCTGCCCTGGGACCACACACGATCCTGCTGAAGGAGCGCGCGCGCGGGGGGGCGGTACCAGACCCAAGAGCTGACCTTCTCCGCGCGCCCCTCTCCAAACGCACTTGGTTGGAAGTAAGTGCCGCGGATTCCGGGGGCCCTTACTTCCAGGTAAGTGAGCTCGGAGCACCGCCGCAGCCCCTTCTACTCGGAAAGGCAAGTCTTCTCCCCACCCCTCCCCGCCGCCTCTTGCTTGCTCGCTGACTGGCTGCCCCCCAAATCCCTTCGCCGCTGCTCTCTGCGCTCCGGCTCAGTGGCGATCCCCTCTTCCTTTCCCGAAAGAAGAAAGTGGCAACAAACCGATCCGAGGGATGCTCGCAGATTGCCAGGCGATCACTTTATTCTCTCCGCATACTCTGCCGGTCTCACTCGCGCAAAGACAGCGACCTCGCCAACGACATTGCCTGCATGTGTTTCTTATGTGTGGCAGGCAGGCAGGCTGGCTTTTCTTTTCCCCCCTTCCTTTATTTTTTTCCCCTTTCTTTCCCCACTCCTCCTACTCCTCCTCCCTTCTTTTTTCCTTCCCCAAGCGAAACAGAGCGAGACTCTTAGGTAGTTGTTTCCACCAGCCCCGATTGGGCTGAACTGGATCTGCCTCCAGTCAAAACACGGAGATTAAGACAGAAAATTGGCTCCGGTTTCAAGCCGTGAGTTGCAGTCCCACAGGAGCCAAGCACAACATCAGTGGAGCAAGTAGAATATTAAACAGGAGCAGGGACTCCGGGGCCGGAGCCAGGCTGTGTGAGCTCTCCATCCAGCCCCATAGCAGCGAGAGAGCGAAAGAGGGAGAGAGAGAGAACTTTCTGAAAGAGGCAGGCAAACCGCATCACAATGCACTTTCTACAGTAATTCACCTACTCTTTGGCACAAAAGCCAGGCGCCTCCCCCATCTTCCCCTGCTCTCTCCAAGAAACAAGAATTTTTGTTTTCTTTCCATATATTTCTCAAGTCAGGACCACTGCAGGAAGACAACAGGGTCCTCCAAATTCGGGGGGGGGGGGGGAGAGAGCCAGAAGTTGGAAAGGGAATGGATAGCCAGCAGCATGTTACAAATTAAAGTCTGTCTGGACAAGATTGATGAAGCAGGAGGTCAAGACTTAGAACAATAAGAAACAAGAAATATTCGAGACTGGTTGGAGAAGCCCCTTGCTGTTTCAACTGAGTGAGAGGAGGGATTGCAGTTGCACATAGCGCTGGGGCCAAAAGCGAAGGACCACCTTTTTGAAATTCCCAGATACAAATGGTTAACAGATCAAGCCTTGCAATATTTCCACCGGCTTCTGGATGAAAAATGTGAAAAGGCTACTTAAGTGCTCCAGATTTAGCAGCGGGGCTCCTTAACCTATTCTGTTGTCTAGCAGACTGCAAAATTGTCATTTATCCATGGATTCTGTTGCATAACTCTGCATTTGGAAGCTATGCGTCTGAAATATATTCCTTTCTTTCTTAGGGAAGTCCATCCTCACTCAAACTACCCCCAGCAAATTAGTCACAGTTAAGCCCCTTTGAAATTGATGGGGCTTAAGCTACTCACCACCGATTTCAATAGAACTTAAGTATCACTAAATTTCCTGCAAGAGAGATCCACATGTTTTGGGTTTTACTATTTGTCTTACATAAATTTTAAATAAAGTCATACAAGGGAGCCAATTCATTAATGGTAAAAACAGAGGCAACCACATTTGAAGCTGTAGTACCTCCCTCACTGAACCGATTATTGCTGTGTGACCCCATTTGTGAAGTGGCTAGATCCACACAAACTCTCTAAAACGCTGCTGTTGGATGCAAAGGTTTTTTCATGATGGTCAGTCTTCAAAGCTGACTTGAGTACCTCCATTTTGGTAGAGTCAAAGCAGTATAGCTTTTCAAACACAAACCACAGAATTGTAGAGTTGGAAGGGACCATGAGGATCATCTAGTCCAACCCCATGGCAATGCAGGAATCTTTCACCCAATGTGAGGCTTGAACCCACAACCCCAAGATTAAGAGTCTCATGCTCTACCGACTGAGCTATAGTGAACATCATAAAGAAGAGTGGAGTCCAGATGGATAAATGCATAGAGACCTATTTTGCTTCATACATGCGTTGCCCTTGCTGCATCAGGCCTAATAAAGATCTTATGCCTTGCATTACAGCTCTCTAGCACAAAGGGCACAAATGGCGCTGTGGTCTAAACCACTGAGGCTCTTGGGCTTGCTGATCATAAGGTCAGCAGTTCAAATCCAAGTGATGGGCCGCCAACCTAGCAGTTCGAAAGCATACCAGCACAAGTGGATAAATAGGTACTGCTGCAGTGGGAAGGTAAATTGTGTTTCCATGTGCTCTGGCACTCATCACGGTGCTCTGTGCACCAGAAGCGGTTCAGTCATGCTGGCCACATGACCCAGAAAAGCTGTCCCTTGGCCTGAAAGTACATCCCATAGTTGAATTTGACTGGACTTAACCATCCTGGGGTCCTTTACCTTTTTTACCTCTCAAGCACACACATTTTGTAGGCAACACACTGAGAATCCATTCCTCTAAACTTTTGATTGCTTCTGTAACTTGGCACATTCCTGTGCATGAAGTAAGTCCTACTGAATTCAATGGGACTTCTTCCCAGTAAATGTGCATGGTACTTATGGTGCATGGCAGCCTTAGTGAGGAGGTGAAAGAGAAATATTATGGAAGATTGCAAAAGGTGGTATTCAGAAATACCGGGGGTGGGTGTTACAATAACTTTTTGCATACAGTAGCTATTTGCACACATAGATTAATCCAAAACAGTGGAGAGTTTCGGAATCTATACATGTTAGAACACATCTGCTGCTCCAATGCTTCCGGCTTTTTAGTTCTTTGCTAAGTAAACACTGAGAAATCTTCAGTGCCAAACTTTGCTCAATTCGTTACATTTATCTTCGTTGTAATTTTTTTGCAGTCTGCAGATTGTTGTCACATATCAATTTGCTGTTGTGCACACTGTCCCACTTTATCATACTAACTTACAGAGAGTGCCATGTTGTTCCTAAGGAAGAGTTTTTAGAAGCCAGCATGAACTACTTAAATTTCTACTAGGTAGAAAATTCACATGGCAATCAATGCATGCTCACTCATAAGCAAGCAAGGCCTTTTCATTTCACAGGGACTTCCTCCCAATTAAGGGTACAGAATGTTGTGCATCCAAGAAACCAATTCTTATTTCCACTACTGATTTCACACACAAAAACTACCACCAGAAAATATTATTTTAATTGCCCACTGCTAAAGGCTGCTGCATGAACAAATGCAGAAGATTGAGCACTAGATTCCCAGGGTAACTCCACACGTTTTTCTAACCTGTCTTCTGAGCAGTGAAACAGCAGCAGCTCTTTGCATGGCTGATTAGCAAAAACCCCAACTTAACATACTTCAGTTGCACTGCACAAATTCTCTTGCTTTGTTTGGCTAGTGCCAGAAAGGGAGAGGTCCCAGAGACTGTCCATATATCAGCTATTCCAAAAAGCTTTTCAGCAACAAGTGCTGGCGTGCCAAGCCAGTGAGCAGAACCTGATCTTAGATCCTTATGTCAAACTTACCTAAAAATAAGCCTGCAAGGGGTTTTGCCCAGGAAACAGGGCAGAGCTGGAAGGCCCAGTCCCATTTGCAAATACATTGCAATTTTGGAAGCGCAAGTCACTGCTTGTGCCATTCAAGTTACCAAGGTGTCATGGAATCAGAAGGCAACCTGAACCACCATACTGCAACACATTTAATACATTATTGCAAATAAGTCTTCTCAAGACTGTGCCTGGTGTATCAAATACTATATTTATGAAATAATTGTAGAAAAGTGTCATGATTTGTTAAACCCTTCTGGATCAGATGAAGGGCTTACTTGGTCCAGGACCAGGTTCCCACAATGGTCCACCAGATATTTCCAGGAAGCAGAACCTAAACTAAGAAATTGACCAGATTATAGAATCATAGAGTTGGAAGGTATCGTGGGGGTCATGTAGACCAACCCCTGCAATGCAGGAATATTTCTGCTCAACTTGAGGCTCAAACCCAAGACCCTCAAATTAAGAGTCTCACTCTCTACCAACTAAGCTATAGAGATGTTTTTCAGCCATAAGATTCACAGTAATTATTATATACTGCCAAAACATCTATTCTTATGATTAAGTGTATTTGAACATAGCACCTGTATATTGAGAAAGTAAAGGGGTGCATTGAAAGATACTGTTGGGCCACTGGGGTGCAGCTTTTTCCTCTTAGCCATGCCTAGGGACAATCACCGTCCACATACTTTGTTCTGTAGAATTCAGCAGACACCTTTGAAGACTAAACCAACCCCTTCATCAGCCAATCAGTGGCCCACATTCTGTCTCTTGTTGGGATGCAGCATGGGATTAAATTTTAGGCTTTTAGGCATGTGACAAAGAAAGAGAATGATGGAAGCTACTTATTGCACCTAAAGATTTCCATTAGTGTGTCATATAGAAAGTTGTTATACGACATCAGCTCCATAGTTCTTGACATTTAGTTATTTACTGGTAATGCACCACTATCCTTATTTGTAATGAAAGGGTGGGAAGTCAGTGCACTACATATTTTCTGCAAAGAAGTGTAACATAAAGCCTTGATTTGTGGCTAGATCCAGGCTTCAAAATCTGTTTGCAAAGCTTTGTGTGGTATGGAAACCAGACCATTTTTATTTTTTATTAAATCCAGCTCTTAATCCTTAGGCTACCACAGATTTTCCCTGTTGCCAGCCGAATGCATGCATTAAGAGAACACCCTGAGGCATCCAAAGCAGCCTGAAGGTTGAAATGTCAGACTCCCCTTGCATTTATGCAGTTCTACTCTGTAAGAGGCTACTATGCAGTGCTATACTGTTCCATTTGCTCACTATTCCTTCAGCAACTACTCCATTTTCACTCACTATTCCTTTGGAGTCATTATGATGCTAATGAGAGAACTGTAATGATGCCATTCACAATGTCAATGAAAAAGGGTCTTTATGCATTTCCAGAATGCCACTAAAACAGAAGTTAAATTTAAAATGCTTGTTACAATAATGCTGCAAATCTGACTAAAATCCCTAAAGGCCAAAAAGTAAAGGTGGAAGCAATGCTTGGTATTGGCAGGGCCTCATTAGTTACCCTATATTCTGTGGAAACAGCATGTGGTATTGCTA